AGCCTAAGAACCGACCGAAGGAAAAGAGCAATAACAATGCAGCGGAAGACTGAAATACGCAGATCTGACTCATCATGACTTGAACGAACGCATACATCCATTATCATGCACACACAGAGTACATATGGAAGCTCAGACATAGAAGATAGCTGGCATGCCAACAATGCATCCACCGATGGAGGTAGAGAAGAGACGAAGTGGGGAAAAGAAGAGGGAGACGTCAACTCTAATAGCCCTGTGAACAAATAGTCTCCAACAATTATCCCTAATGTCTCTGTCGAAATACAATGTCCAAATCTGGGCAATCGCGCGAATGCCGCCGAGTCTCAACTCTCAAATATATATCTCTCGCATAGAACAAGAAGAAACAGCAGAGGGAGAAGGAGAAGAAAAAGAAATGGAGATGGGGAGAAGGCCAGGAGAGAAGAAGAAGAAGAAGAAGAAGAAGAAGAAGAAGAAGAAGAAGAAGAAGAAGAAGAAGAAGAAGAATTCTCTCCGTCTCTCTCTCTCTCCCAAGCGGAGCGAGATACTGACCAGCATAAAGGTGTCACCTTGAAAGTGTGATGCAGGTGGGAGCGCCCTGAAGACGAACTGCAGCGATGGCACCGATGTGAGTTCATCAGGTAAGTTCCACGGCCCTGGCCTCCGCCCTCATCCTCCTCTCTCTCTACTCTAGCCTAGCTCCGTACAGAACCAGCGCTACTCCACCAGCGTAGTGTCAGCAACTCCGAATGTTGCATGCTGAAAGCATGGGTGTCCCAGCTAAATATAGCACTGGGCCTACTGGATGCAGACGGAGTCTGCATCCTGGCCATCGGATCGTATCCCCGATCGACGGTCCAGGATGCAGGCCCAATTCCTGGTCCTGAATCCTGGAATACCTCGGCTTGCCTGGGTCCCTACCAGACGTCCAGGCTCCTCAGCCGAACCAGCAGCAGCCTCCTTCGAATAGGACAAAAACATGGGCTGGACCAAAAACAAGGATCAGCCGAAACGAAAATGTGCCAGGCCTGACACTGCCGCTGGGCCTGAATCGGCCCAAAATGCTGGAATGGTACATCTGGAGCGGAACTCCGAAATCAGACAACAAACTGAATTGCTTAAGAGATGTAACCAGACCGGACAATACGTGAAATGGACAAAAGGACTGAGAACAGACAAACAACTGAGAACTCGAGAAAAACAAAAATGAACTCCCAGAAACATGCAGACCACCCAAAAAAGCAACAAAAGACCCCTGAACTTCTAACCAAAGCCCCGTACCCAATATTGGGCCCTGCATGGGCCCGTGTGCGAGCTGTGCATACCACACACACACACACACACACACACACACACACACACACACACACACACACACACACACACACACACACACACACACACACACACACAGATTGAAGATTGAAGAAGCACACGGCTATGGCCAAAAAACACTCACAGCTCGACCTCAACATCCCAAACTTAAAGATACTCAAAAAACACTCGGTACGCGT